GGGTTGTTTGACTGCGGAGGAAGATTTTACCATGTGACTTACTTATCTGATTCATCAGATCAGCTTGCCGTAACAATGTTGTCGTTTTCTGCAATAAAAAAAATGCTGTTAACAAAACAACTACTTATTATTATGTGCTGAACAGTCTCAACAAACACTGAACCTTCATATTTACCCAGTGCAAATGCAGAAGTTTGCTAGATCAATCATTTTTTTGCTTGCTGAGATATGAGCCATAGTGGTGCATAATTTGGTAGACTGACCAGCCAGCCAGGCCTTGCTCCAACACAAATCTTTCCAGCTTGTGATCTCCCTTAATTCTGCATGCTGAGTTCTATATTCTATTGATTGTAAATTAATATATTAATATTGAACAGAATTCAAAAAGAATCATATAAAAATAATTGGTGGATGGGTACATTTGATTATGGGGTGTAGCAGCTGCTACCTCTTCTTCAGAAAATTCGTCAGCATTTTCATCTATGTTAATAAATGCAAATTTAGTACAAATGTGCAGTATAAAAAATATGATTTTCTGCATGACCATAAATTTCACATTCTTTGTTTAGTATTTAATATTAAATGTAATTACCAGGTTCTTCAATTTCCTGAGCTAAACTTTTGGCTTCATTCATCCATCTTAGAAATTTTTCTTTCCATTTGCCCATTTCCTCTTTGTTTATTCCAGGATTGTTTTTATGATGTTCACACATTCTTAAAGCATCTCTAATTCATTTTACACTGACTCCATCAGGAAATTCTTCTTGTAACCCAAAATACATAATCCACATCACTCTAAGTCTATTCCATGGTACTATAAATTTACATTGGCTCTTCAAACCATCAGGCAGTCTGGGTTTTGGGTGACTTACATTTGCCTTCAACACTGTGATAGGAAATAATAGCTATAAGATTTTTTCTTTCATGAATAATATATTGACTGTATATTAATTAGTAACATACCTTTTCTCAATTTACATAATGTTCTCATCTCTAACATTTTGTCCCGCCAACTTTGTAGTCGATTCTTCCAGATCTGTATTGATTCTGGTGGAGAATCGCTCTCAGTCTTGAAAACTCTAACTTTCACTAGTGCATCAGCTATATATTTTCTTGGTACATCCAGCAGCTCAGTTCGCTCACCAAAAATGTTGAGAAGTATTTGCTGAAATTCATTCCATTTGTACCTAAACTCATTTTTAGGTCCATCAAAAATTTCTTTGTAGTTTAGAAATGAATTAGAAAACTGTATAAATTATTATAAACACTCATAATTAGTATAGTAACATTAAAATACCCTCAATGTCATCTTCACTATCAGAAAAGTTGATTATGGATTCTGCATGAGCATCTCTATCATCTATAAAAGTAGTTAGCTTTGGTTCTCAGTAGACTAAAATTGTATCAACATATCCTACCTTCAAGTTGCATCATGTCATCAGAACCATTGGTTGCTGTCAGTATTACATAGGTAGATAATTATGAAGTACCTGAAAGTTCAAATTATACAGCAAATTTGAAAACAATAAGTTAGTATATAGTTTTAGAATACTTACAAGTACAGATATCTGGACTACTATTATTTGTAAATTTTTCTCAGACATTACTATGACTATTAATAGACAACCAACAGTTGGTTTTGCTTACCTTCATCCTCATGTTCAAATTCATTATTATTAGTTGGTTCAATGTCATGCCCATTTTCAAGTTCATTATCACTATTAGTTGGCTTGCCTTCACTTTCATCTTCAATGCTTTCGATTTCAATATCGTCAGTCTGATGCTCTTCTGTTACACCAGCCTCGAACAATTCATCTAGCAACATCCTATCTTTTTGTGGTGCAACGGCAAACACCAGTTCATACGGACTTAGTTTTGTTGTCCTGATACTTCACAATTCATTGTGTACACAATAATACCCAGAGCGTTTGTCCAGTCTGCCCGACTGTAGTCTCCATCCATCTGGCAATTTTTCTTTCCAAGATCGCATTTCCTCTTTCTACCATGCCTTGTGACTGTGGATGACGGGGTCGTCCGTGGATAATTCTTAAGTTAGGCCATAATTCCCCCAGATGGCTCGTTAGACCAGAGAATTCCTTTCCGTTGTTGCATTGTAGTATTGTTGGCGGCCCAAACATTAAGAAATTTTTATAAACAAATTTGGCCACACTTTCTGCCGTTTTTTGTTTTGTCGCTTTTGCCCAACTGAATTTAGTGAAATGATCTCGCATGTGGATAATGTAGCAATACTCATTATCCTGTGCTTGCACCATATCGATTAGATCAACCTACAATTTAATAAAAGATAAGCAAATATTGGATGGTTACTATCGTTGAAAATAAATAATATTACCTGCACACGTTGAAGAAATCTCCTCGCTATTATGGGCTTTCCTTCTGGATGCTTTTGAATAATTCCACTCGAACAACAAGCTGAACAAGCCTTGCACGCTGTGTGACTTATTGCCTGTGGGAAGAAACAATAATGCTGGTTGAGGGAGCGCCATGTTGCGGTTTGACCACGGTGACCTTCCCCATCATCGCCGTTGTGCATACGACAAAAGACATGGTACATTTCTTCTCGTGTACAAACACGGAGCTCCACTTGTTGATGTTTTCTGCTCAATTTTTTATGTAAAAATTTTGTCCCGTTGATGGTTCTGATAGTAAACTGGTGCGACCATCTATTAAGATTACGATCGGCAAAATTATCTTGAAAGTTATTTTCGATTAAGCGAATTATCTGTGCAGCTAGTTCGTTTGTGATTATACTTCTATCAGATTTGGAAAGACTATTGAGATGTTGTTCAATAATTTGGTCGAATTTCTCTTGCGAAATAAATGAATATTCCATTGTAGTACTGTCGCTTACTTTTATTGTTTTTCGAATGGTTCTCAGTTGGCTTGTTTAAATAGACAATTGGCTTCGAGACGAATCTATAAATAACCTTTCGCCAACAAGGATTATTATAACATTGAGAATATAACTATATCGTAATAACGATGATAAAGAACGAAAGTTACAAACTATTTTAGATTGCTAAAACTTTATCACAATAACGATAATGCTATAATTATATAATAAGGATGACGAAAATCGAAAGTTACAAATGGTTTTATAATGCCATAATTGTATAATAAAGATGTTGAACGAATGTTACAATGGTTTTAAAATTGTTAAGCATCGATCATAGTAACAATGAGAATGTTAATTATTACATAACAACGCTGGGCCGACAAAGTTACATATAATTTGAGATTTTGTAACAACAGTAATAACAACGAGGATTTAATAGGCCGTTAATATGTCTTATCAAAACGTTATAACAAGGACAAGATCACGACAATTATGGACAACAATGATAATAATAATAGCAACGACAATATCAAAGGGATTGGCATTTCCGTGCCGTGTAACATCAGAAACAGGGTAGGGGATTTATATGATACGGCTTTATAGTGAAAATAGCTTATGTTTGGTGGTAAAACACAAGGGTTATCGCTACTATTATTACAGTACGTCTTATATTGCACAATCCATGGCGTTTGTCACATCCGCCGATTGAGATAAGAAAGATTTTAGGGACCATCTCAATTTTGGGGTACTTTGACGGGATTTATGCACGACATATTCATTGCGTATTTGTTTGCCACTGGCATTTAGACATAGCAGTTCGACAATGATTTAATATGCGATATCATGGGTGAACTACGGCCAACAATTCCTGATTCAGCACCAGACAAATACAAGAAACTTGAATGGTGTTGTGACACTGACACTGATCCTGATAAGCGTCCAATGCGGGGCACAATTTGGGATGATATTAGGAACCTTTTCAAAAAGGTTGATTTGACAGTTCAGATGACAACGCGTGGAAGGTCATCTATCATAACGACGTAACACCCTTATCACGTCTCGAAAAGGAGAGTAAATACTGTAATAAGCTTTTACTTACGAGAGAATTACCTAAACCAAGAAATAGCTATGATCTGGATTTAACCGCAGGTATGGCGACAACAATTGGTTACATATTGATATTAAATAAAAAACAGTCTTACACAATATGCTCAACATGAATTGAGCTAATAAGATTGCAAAATAAAATTAAAGCGCGACGTCGATGCTATGGATAGCTACATAATAACCGTTATCCTTTTGGTAGCGTATGTGTGGACCTGTTAATGGACCACCCGTATATTTATCGCTTATTTGGTCAGTATTTTTTCAATGACATCCCATCGTCAAAAAAAAGACATGCAATTCTATGAACTGTTGGAAGCAGTTCGCTACCCATGCCTTTGATGTTCACAAATAAAAAACGCAGGCATTTTATATAACTCATTCTTCGCGAAGTTTGTCATTTCATAATGACAACCCGACCCTTTAAACTGCAACATCGATAACACTTCCGACGTATCAAAACTATCAGTAAAATATACCATCCCCACAACGAAAACAAACCATACCATCACCACTAACCATCAATAATAATAATACACGATATGTGTGAAGTAAATAAAAGTTTGCCGCATCATTAATATAAATTTCCATTCGCTAACTTACTATAATTTCACATCATAAGAATACCTCAATAGAATCTCGTCAACAACAAAAGTGATCGAAGCTAACGAAGAGGCGAAGCCTCTTAACTACTTATGACTCTAGTTTTAGATACAAGAGCATCCTCAGTATTCTGGGAGAAATATTCTATAATATATTGAATTTGCGGGTTAGTAAGTTTTGATATTCCATTTGCGCTATAAGATTTAACCCGTTTGATCTTATCATTTCCTATACCGTTAAATAATTTATAAATCTTACAAGCTCTTTGAGTTTGCTTGTGGAAATTTTCACGTGAGACGCCAGAAAGACAGTTCCAGATTTCATCATAAACTTGAATTCTCGCCAAGTCATCTGCTCTTTTATTATTTTGGAAAATAGATAAGATATCAACCCTCTTTTCAAAACCTTCCGCATAATAATACCAGCTTAAAATTTCTTCTTGCTTAGTGTATATAGTATTCTTTTTAGCCTTTCGTGCTTTTTGATACAAATGAGCCAACTCAATAACAATGTGTTTACCATTCTCATTGTGAACTGGCATATCTGGCTCTTTACTAATGACTTCAATTAATTCCTCTGAAACAGGTTCTAAATATAATTCCTGTATAAATTTTTGCATATCCATCCAGCTATCCTTCTGAATTGAACTGTTTGTAGTTATATTGGTGGGGGATATAGAATTATATGAAGTTTCAATTGCGGGAAAAGTATAAGTATAAGTATAAGTATAAGTATAAACTATTAAAAACTCAAAGGCGATTTGGCAGCGATCATTTCTAAATGTAAAATAAAATATAAAATAAATGGAAAGATTTACATCGCAAAGCGGATGCAATTGGTGGATCTGAAGCACGAGACAAATAATAAGGGGGTGGATCTTTAAATTATGCTAAATTATATGTACTCTTGTATCACTTGCCTTTTATACCTTTATATCGGTTCTCCAATTTGGGCTGATCGGTTTTACTGTATCATTAATGGATATCAACCAAATTTGGTCTCCCCTTCATTACCCTTTCACCAATTTCCTTTTTGTATATGTGTTTGTCTAATTTGCTTGTGTAAATTCTTCATTATCAGAGAAATCTTTCCATTGATTGGCGACGCCGATATTTTCTTCTGAGCAGCCATCGAGACTGAGAACAAATAAATGGATCCCGACTACTCACAAAATTTGCACCTTCTAGTTCAAGTACTTTCCAGATACCTGATTTAGATGACACCGTTATAAAGGTGAGAATTCATTAATGACATTATCTTTCATGCGGGTAATGCTAAACATATTTACAAACTTGAAGAGACAACTGTACACGACGTAAAGAGTGGAATTACAACGAGACGCTTATACTACTGGAAACCATCTCGGACCATTTAATAATACCAAAAACTCATAGAGCCAGAGTTTGGGAAGTCATATTCGATGATTTCACCTAACCGATTTTAGGAAGAGGTCTAACAATGTTTTTTATATCAATATTTTTCTTTATTAAGATGGGACAAACTTGTCGAAGGCTATATAAACTTGTGATTGACAACAATAAGCGTACAGGAGCGTTTGAACAAATGCAAAAAATATTCGATGAATCCAGTTTTCAATCAAGTTTATAACTCTGACAATAGGAAGGAGATGGGCTCGGCGAATAATAGAAAGAAAAAAGCATAAAAGCCATTCGGTAAATTTAGATGCTATTAAGCAAGCTGTCGAATATTTTGAGAAAATTGGTTTCAGCCATTAAAGAGAATTAATTAACACACATTGAAAGGCTAAACAAGCACATTAAAGACTTTTTTTAATAAATTCAAATAAACCAAGGAATTTATTCGTTGGTTCGAGATGCTAACACCCCGCGAAAAACTAGTTCTCATTTTTTTTATGCTTGCTGCTTGGGTGCCAAGGAGGACATAAATTGTTGGTTAGCAGAATAACTAGCTTGTTTCTCCTCTGCGTAAACTTTGCGACTTTATATCTTCATTGATACCTATTATTCATCTATAATTTCTCCACTTACCATCACCAATGCGTTCACAATCGATGCATAAATTGTGAAAAATACAACATACATGAAATGATTACATCCACAATCGTCTCCATATCAGTAATTTTCATAACATTCTTGATTGATAATGCGCCACCTGGATTTGAGCTTGCCAAATGCCCGCTCAATTGCCATGCGAGCAGAAGAAAGAGCTTTATTAAATTTCTGTTGAGGCGTAGTGAGTCTCCTTCGTTAAAAAGGAATCAGGAGCCAGGGTAAAAGAGG